GTGACCAGCTTGTCTAACGTGGGCGATAAGTGGATACGTTGATGACAATAACAAGGAACTTGCTGCACATGGTTTAGTTCAGCTGATTGTGCTGTGCCGAAGTCTAATGGATTTCATTCAAACAGGAACAATCTGATTCGGTGAGAGGCATTCTTCGAAACGGATTGAAACGAAAATTGACAGCAAACTGTCTAAAGAGGCCTAGACTGGTTAGAATAGCGTGAAGAATATGATGGTCGTGATAATTGTCAATAAAGCCTTGTAAGTGATCGAGTATATGCATAGTTGTACAGTCTGTACCCAATACAGGCATCAACGATTCAAATGACCTCAACAATGCACTCAGAGATCTGCATGGATCACACACTAGTTCCGAGTTCGTAATCCGGCAGAAAAAAGTACATGTCAACCAGTGTTAGGCAAGAATGCTAGAGCAGTGAAACCGCATATCCTTCTCAAGTGGGGACATTTTTGAAATGCAGGGAAGCGGTACAGCTTAAGACGGCGATAAAGGGGTGCTAGCGCATAATTGGGTAGTATATGGAGAGTAGAAGCACTGGAGCGAAGTGAAGCATAAGGTGAGATGTGTGTCGTGTTAAGAATTTGCCCCGATACTCAATAAAGTAAGACTTCAGACAGATACTTGCACGAGGATGCTACTGCTGGCGAAAGGAGGAAAGCCTTTCGCTACGGTCATTTACTAGCAAACACGAACGGAATTGTGACAAGTCACTAAACATGAAGGTAAATATCTCATGTGCACGTTTTTTTATAAAAAAAGCATAAGGTGAGATGTGTGTCGTGTTAAGAATTTGCCCCGATACTCAATAAAGTAAGACTTCAGACAGATACTTGCACGAGGATGCTACTGCTGGCGAAAGGAGGAAAGCCTTTCGCTACGGTCATTTACTAGCAAACACGAACGGAATTGTGACAAGTCACTAAACATGAAGGTAAATATCTCATGTGCACGTTTTTTTTATAAAAAAACTGGACATTCTCACGTGTCCTCTAAAACTTTTCTAAATATCCATTGACTATTATACAATAGTAAACGAACACTGCAAGACGGTTCCGCAATCACCGTAATAAACTTCACCTCCCATCAGATGTTGGGACGGTGCATCAACACCAGACCATAGGCTACTCGGATGCTTCATCAGTAGTGTACACCGTTGCGCTGGTAGTAACTTTAGTGCACCGCAAACGTATTTCAGACAAAAGCGGTGTACACAGAGCTCAACCGAATATCTTAACAGCAGACAACCCAATATGAACAGATGGTACACTTGGGATCATAGATTTTGTGGCTTTGCACAAGCTGGTGACAGCTTAGAATATGTTCACGAATATCGGACAGGATTGAAAGCTAAATCAATGTGTTTGGCCTAAAATCTGCATATTTTTCCGCGTCTGTCCGTTACAAACCTAATGGCAGACAGCTAGCGCTGAGTCCAGGGGAACACCACCTTTTAGTGTGCGGAAGACTTATGAGTTGCTCGTCTTCAGGCAGATGGAGGAGGCTCAACTTGAAAAGCATAACGATTCTGTGATGTTGAGACCATTCTATTCCTATTATTTACAAAAAACCAACCGACTTGAGGATGTGCCCTTTGCTGTCAGGCAACTGCTCATAATTATGAACCAGAATAAAGCGACTGCTGTTTGTATTTCCATCAGTCTGAAAAAGTAAACAAATCGATCGGGTACAACTGAAAAAATTTTCGCTTGATGCTGGAAATCAAAAATATTGTACCGAGACACTAGGCGGTTTCTTCGCATGATTAACGTTCACCCAGTAACAAATCTTCAAAATTGTTCGACTCAGTCAAAAAGACGAAAACCCGTAACTGGAGGCATAAACTTTTTCAGAATTGTTAAGGTGAGTTCGATCCTTCTGTTTACGGGAAATCAATGTCGGGAAGAAAAACGTTAGGAAGGCCTGGGTTGACGAAACCTACGGAAAGGAAAAGATGTAGAGAAAAAGCCCGAGAACTAGGTAACTGGATTAACTATTCCGTGGGACAAGAAAACCGAAGAAGTACGTGGAGTTTAGAGTGCCCGTTGAGCCCACTTGTCTTCCACCCATTTCCCATCGTACACACCGATCAGGTCATTCGAAAACCACAAAATTCCTGACCCGAAGGGTACGAAAACCCCCTAAAAGTAGTAACTAGAAAAACTAGTTGCGTTTAGTTTAATTAAGGTTTTGGGAGTAATTCAGATGATAATCAAACCCTAACAAAGTCTTACTAATGTTGAAAGCGACATGAGTCGCTGGAACATATGTGATTATTTTCTTTTCAGCCAGTTACAGGAAACGTAAAGCAATTCATTCTAGTTCCACTCACCAAACTGTGTAGCTGACTTTTTTTAAAAGGTATACCAACACACATAAAAGCAAGCATTGATGTGACGATCAGGGACCAAATTCCGGGATTGAAACTCGTGATTTTCGTCGTTCACAAACCGCTTTGTTCAAGAAGTCATATAAAGCAATAATGATAATAATCGTTCTACACCTTTCGATGCCAACCTGCCACGCCAACCGAAGGAAGCAGACGGCTGAAATACTGTCAAGGTTTGGACAGGAGCAATCAAGATGCTGACATTTCGGCTGGTAAGTTCGCGCCTTTACTACTGATCTATCAGGAGCTGAAGAATAGGACATAGTATGTAGGATCATCGGAATTACTCATATAATGTTTACAGCTGACCATGAGAATGGTTGTAAAACTAACTCGCCATCTCATAGCCTGTTGATAGCAGGAGTAATTGTCACTTAACTCTGGGAGCCATGCGAGTGTCAACATGAATTATTTTCTATTCTTTGTGATCTGCCAGAAGCATTTTGCTTGATGAATGTTCAACCCGAAACAAAGATGACAACAAGTATGAATTCCTCCCATGGAGATTCTGCAGGCAGCAGTAGAATTACCGCGAAAATGTAGTGGGTTGAATCGGACAAAGAATAAATGTAATGCACCAAATCTAAAAAAGAATATTCCCAAAGCCTGACGTAGTAACTGTCGATAGAGTGCTTAAAACAACAGATTGGCAAGATAAGATTAACCGCTCGATATAAAAAGGTAACGTGTCCACTAAACATCCCCAACTCGATTCAGGTCAGACCTGAGTGACAATTTTCTGGAGACGAATGCCGCGAGCTAGTAACTGAAAACAAGCGGAAGCTTGATTAAGGAAATTGTACACAATCGGCACATCGTTCTACTGTTTCATTACAACCCGGCATCCTCTGTAGTAAACAGGAAACACGGTTTCCCGACAACTCAGAACCGAGAATTTATGAGGAGCGGTTAGTCCTGTGATTTTGTATTCGACATGAATAGTACATCGTTGTTTCTAGTATTTCCACGTTACTGAGTAAAGCCTGCGTGCTTGCATCACCTTCTATCTAGAAAAATACCAGCTACGATTAAATAAGTGTTCAGCTGTAACATCCATTCGGCGCCTAGCTGCGATATCACCCGAAGAAAAAATGGTGGCTGAGATACGGAAGGTTGCCCGGGTCTAGATAGGAACAATCAAGAGTTCGGGGTTGGATTCGAGCCAAGGAATTCCGATTAGTAAGTTCACGCCTTATTCACTGCGCTGTCTCGAGCTCTACATACATATTACATTCCTACGGAATGGGGTGTCCATTCCCCGGGGCAAGACGGCTGTGGTTAGAGCGCGAATTTACTGACCAGAAGGCCCGTGGTTCAAATCGGAACTCTGCCTCTCGACTTCCCCTGTCTAGGCTTGGGCAACCCGTTAGTATTCCAGCCCTCGTGCAACCCTTGGGTGGCATGGCAGCAGAACGATCTTTCCCGAAATTCACTTCCTTAGCTTTTCACCTCTAATTTTAGTGACATCAAGCCTACACAGATTAGGGTAGGGACGCGAGACCGCAATGGGAGTAGCCACAACTTTTTCAGCATTCGGATCAATGGACGTCCTGAGTATGTGTGTGAACCTAAGGCAGACGTAACATCTACAACCCTGAGACAAGAGTAGTGGGAACATCAACAAGGATAGTATTACACGCGCACACAGCACAGCACACTATTTTCATGTGACATTTTACCTCAGTAAAACTGCTGTGATAAGCTTCAGTTGCATTTAAATGTCCCTTCCAGTCCTGATCATGCGAATATCATCAATAAATGATGAACCTTGGTACGTGTTGGATATTAAAAATAAGGCTACACACAAGGACAAGTGTCAATTAACTGAAGATTCGGATGAAGCAGACGAAATCGACTATCCAGTAATTGGTATCCTGGCCCCCTTTCCTCCAAGTACCCGAGTAGTTCCTCCTAATTGAGAACTGCTAGGTTCAAGGAACCTAGGGGTCACCAAACTGACGGTTGGTGCGATACATAGAACCGGTACCAAACCGACAAACCCAATGAACACCAGGCGCCGAGAGTTAAGCAGGTCGGACCACCAGCGCATAGAGGCCTTATTAGTTTGTTTAGTTGTTCAATTGAACTAACCAATTAAGGGTTTTGGATTACTAATGGTCACCGTTACTGAACGGTAGCAAACAAACTCAGTGACCGGAAAAATAGCAAAACACCGTTCAGCTGTAGCACCCTTTCGGTGCCTAGCTGCCATGCCAACCGAAGGAGGCACGAGGGCTGGGANTCGGTGCCTAGCTGCCATGCCAACCGAAGGAAGCACGAGGGCTGGGATATTGCCAGGTTGCCCAAGCCTAGACAGGGGAGGTCGAGAAGCAGAGGCCGGGTTCGAACCACGGACCTTCCAGTCAGTAAATTCGCGCTCTAACCACTTGGGCTATCTCACCCAAAATTGCAACGAGAGGGGTTAAACTAGCTCATTGAGATCACAATAAACGGGACAGGTCCAATCCCTGCAGACTAACATGTCTGCGTTTTCTGCTCTTGCAACCAGAATCCTGGATCCACTGGGAAATTCTACCAGGCGTCCAATATGGATCAAATGACAAGAAAAAATGACAACGAATTATGACTTACATGGGCGATATTAACATAATTTACCACACGTCTGCCACTTCCGTGTGGATGTGCGTGGTCCTCTGAGGCTGGTGTTTCTTTCTCGACTGGACTTTCTAGGGAAATAAGATGCAGAAACGATCTCTGGTGCGTGTCAGAGAAAATCATAAGGAATCATACCGAGATACCAGATTTTATGTCTCTATATACACAACTAATATTACATACGAAGCAGTTACGTAGTGAAACAAAACGTCGTTAGTGAGAGTAATAAGCTGCTAGTCAGAAATAGGGGAAACCATAGAAAAACCATACATAAGGCAAGTTCCAGTTGCAAGATTGGAAGCAGAAACCTATGTCGCTAAGGGACCGTGAATGTGTCGACACCTGATATTTTTCCATTGTGCATGAGGGAACGCCATGATGAAACAAGAATACGTCAACGGAGGAGTCTAAACTCAAAAGCAACAGCTCTGGCATAATAGATCTCATCCAGAAAGGAAACTCACAGCAAAATCATCGGAGTCAACGGTGAAGGCGTTAGAGAGGACTGTGCCATACTTTGAAACGCAAAATTTCAGTCAGTGTACGTGAAGACCGTAAAAGGCTCTGTTTACCATAAACTGTTATTACTGTACTGCACGTTAAAGCTTAATCGTTCTTTAACTGGCTTTTGTTGCTAAACATCACTAGCAGTAAAAAACGGACAGGCAGACACGCTACTCTAAAAATCCTCTTTTTATAGAGATTAACTCACACGTGAAAATACATTTTTACAATGTTTGTTCGAATATGCTGCTACTACGTGGCGCTTCCACTAGACTGGTAATCAGCGGTGCAGAGCCCATTGAGGCAAGGGGTTCAATGCAGCAGCCACAGAAAATTTGTGCACAGTGTTGAAGCACTAATGATATATTACCTAACGTGAACAATGACGCAGCTTGGCGAACACTGCTCAAGGTAGACATTGACTTCTCGTCACAATACACCACAATATACAGCTACCGAGACAAAGAAATCGATCGGTTGCCAAGTGGAACTACATACTCCTTACTAGGGAATAAAACGTCAAACAGTATACCTGGAGTGACAGCGTTTGCCGGTAGGATAGGATTGCAGAATATTGGCTCCGCCGGTGTTCTTTTTTCAGTTGAAAAAGATCGATGTTCACACAGCGTTGGGGCCGAAACTTCAAGTCTATATACACACGTCTCTAGTTCTTCAACAGAGATTATACGGAAGGAGTCCTCGTCCGGCTCACACTTGTAATGCACCTCTGCTCGTCTACGCTCGAATGTCAAACTGCAAATACTTCCATTCACATAGGACTGGTTGTGTACCAAAGGTCGCTCGCTGGTCTAACAAGAAAGGACGGTAAAAAATGGCTCTGCAAATAACAGCTTACTATGTTGATAAGATTGTTCCAGTCTGTCTCGGATTCAAAACGACCAAGAAGTGTTTCTGCTTGTCGTTCATTTTGTTCCAGATGAAATTGAAGAATATAGCGGGCGTAACAGAGTTCATAAGTCCACCAATTGACGGTCTGTTCGGTTGAATGGACAGTAAGCCAGTTATTCACCACGTACCTTTGTTAGACAACGAGTGCCATTTAACTGAGAAAGGGCCGAACTAATGAAGCTGTTGTTAACTGAGGGTGGAGGAGCTTGTTTGTCGATAGGCAACACAACTGGTACTTGACACCTAAATTTTTGACCATACTTTGAGTAGACATCGACCGTAGAGGAAATGTTCTGGTGGGAAAGATGTACAGAATAAACGGCGAGGAAACTCATTACCAAGTCCATTTCCATGGAAGCAGGTTCCACCTCTAGCCGGACCTCATAGCGAGTCTCAGGTAGCGCGGCACTGAAACCACGGGTGGTGCACAGGGGAGCAAGAGATGAGATCAGACAAATCCAAAAAAAGAATGGCAAATTCATTTGCTCGACTGGAATGAGTGAAAATAAAGATGCGTGTCAGTAATCGTGAGGTATAAAGTGAGGATGTATGCTCGTTGGTCAACAGTGCGAATATACTTGAAAAACCCCATAGTTTCAGTCAAATCGCTGAGTGAAATTTAAGGGTCTGAGATTCACATAGTGGAAATAGGTGGATTGTATAAGCCTATCATCATCATCATCAAAGACAGCAACATCAGCGTTGGCACTGATGCTTCACTGCCGTACAACCATAAGCTTCGCCTAGTCATATATATA